ACAGGATCCACAAAACTTGATCTGCTTCAAGGCTTTAGATTTTCAAAATGGAATGATAAACCATAAATAAAAAATGAACTTACAGTATACCATTAGACCTAATGATTGGTTTGTTGCTAATATTCGCAGTAAGAAGTTTATTTGGGGCAATATTTTGCAACTTGTATCAATGCAGTCACTTTACAAGAATACTGTAGGTTCTACACCGTATAACGCAAGGCAAAAAAGGGTTAAAATGAAAAGTACAAAAAATCATTAAGTACACAATGTGTTCAGTTAATCCCATTCATTTATCACATTCTCCCCATCCAGCACAATATTAACATTTTGATTAGAGTGATCTACAGCACGGGGGAAGTATTTGGGATATGTTTGACAACAAAGCTTTAGAGTGGTGGTGATTGATCTTTCCATTCAGAAAACATAAAGCCTCTGGAGCAAGGAGCACATCAAAGGCTCTGCTGATTGACGGTTCTTTATGCTACTTTTGTTTTATAATTCCCTGACTCCTGACACGTTAAACCGGAGACGTTAGAGCTGGGAGGTTACCGTAACCATGGTGCAATCCCCCCCTCGCTATTCTCTCAGTCCCATCGCCCTCCCTGCACCTCACTTTCCAACTCTCTCAGAGAGTCACGGCGGCAATCAAATCAACAGACTTGTCAGTCGGGGATTTTCTGCGTCTTAATTGTAACCTGTGCAGCATTAACTCATCGATCTCTGAGCTCGGCTCTCTTTACTCGGCGCTAGGAGACGAATCAGTCGTTGTGGGTCTTTCCACGGGTGACACTTTGCTTCAAGATTTGCGTTTGCTTTAATTCTGTCTTAAAAATATAAGCTTACTCTCAAAGTGGTTTGCTTTTCTTTGATGTTGCTTTTACAGAGCACTCATGTATTGTATGTACTGTACTGTACCTCGTTTGGCTATTCAACTTGCTCAAACAAGAATCCCTAAGATGTACAGTAAGATATGTCTTAAACTTCCAAATTCTATTTCCTTAAAGATTAACAATATTTGGATATTGTGGGCTGTCCTTGTTGCATATAACATCTGATTGTATTTGGACTTTCTTCAAAAAAATTCAGGTTTAAAAAGCCATGTAAAAAAACTACAGTATTGTATGAGAGGTTCTTTTCTTTTTAATTAATAAAAAAAAGCCCATTGATGTAGTGAGCAAAGTCCGGTAACCCAAATGACCCTTTGTGTACTACTTTGCATTACAATTAACAGCACAGCCCAACTATCTGTGTTATCTGGTTTGATATATATTTTCTTAGAATTCTTCAAAGAGGTTTTCATGTACAAATATGAATTTGTTCATGAAAATACTTATGACCACTCCTGAATTTCTTGCTTGGAAATTGTCACCTCATTCCAAACAAGACTTTAAGAAATTAATGTTTTTTGTTTCATAGACAATGAGTTTGCAATACATGAGTGATGTGTAGAATTAAGTCATTTAAGCAGGCTCAGAATTTCTTTGATGATGGCCATCATTCATTTTTAAAATCACCTACTGTAGGTAAAAAAAACGAGCTAAAGACTATTTCCTTTTGGAAACAGAGTTTATTAATTCTCATCATTAAGTAATAAGTTTCCCTAAGGCTTCAATTAACCTTTTTGTCATTGGTCAATTTGAAAAGAATCTACAGGCTTTCATGCTAATTTTTCAATTATTGATTCACTTTTTTCACTCTGTGTAGAAAGTTTGTGTTAAAGAAATTAAATCTCAATGAGAAAATGCCTTGACTATCACTACTTGTTCTGCTGTACTAATTTAAAATCTTTCCTTCCAGCCTTTTAATTTCAAAACTGATATTTTCAGGCTTTATAACGTACAATGAAATGAGAGCAGAGAAAGATTATTACTGTATGTCTCTCCTTTACACTTCAAAATATAATGAACAAATCCTTAGGTATCCTTAATTCAACTTTTTCTGTATGGTCTGTAATGATTTTTTTCCCCATATAAACCAGTATCCTTTTTTAAAATGTTGTGCTTCTTTTAGTCCAAACTGTACTGTATATCCAGCAGTCCTGATTTATGCCACTTACAGACTATATTAAACATTGACACATTTATAAAGAATTTGCAAGAGGAACCTTTCATTACCAATGATAATGGAATTAATTTTATAGTGAATTGAAGGTTGTGTGTAGTGGACTAGATATGTGATAGTAATGCATCATTTGAAAGTAAAAAGGAAAACATCTGTCTGTTGTTTTTTTAATGTACTTTCTTTATTCATCTACAGAAAAAAAATACAAACAATGCCCTCTTTTATAATCGGGGCTCCTACCCTGCCCTTGAGAAGATGAACATAAAGATGCATCTTCTAATCGACTTGCGGTGCCTGCACTTTTCAATTCAGGCAAAGAAGTTAAATCATGTTGCTACAGAAATATTTTTCCTTACACATTCTGTAGTGACAGGTGCCCATGAGACCTCACTGCTCCAGTGCATCAGAGAAATCAGATGAATTCTCAGCCGCTTTGCATACAAATCAAAAACCAATAGTAACTGTCGTCTTGACTGTTTCAGTAAAGTGATGCACTAGATCGCTTTTTTCAACTCTAGGAGAAGAGGATTTGTCAAATAAATAGATATGAAAATGTTCCATGGCAGTATTCGTATATTTTAAATTTAATTACCTGTGAAACAGCAAGAGTGGGCAGTTCTGCTGGCTTAAAGATTCATTATTCACTGCAGTGCTGTGTGAAGAAATGCCTTTTAATGAGTTTCAATCCTTAGTGCAGTACAGATACCAATTATACAGCTATAAGGAGCTTAGAGAAGCAGTACCATCCAAATAATAGCATTTATTTTCATGCTCAGCACGCATGGGCCCACCTCCATAATATCTTCGGTCCACTTAGTCTAGTGGTTGTAAAGTTCCTAATGAGAGGAGACGTCATAAAAGACCGTTTATGTCTTCCTTCGTAACATGTACAGTATAGCACTAACTATCCCTCACACCAATACTGTGTTTGAAACTGTGGAAGAAAGTGGTAAACGATACCCTAAAATATTCTTGTATTTGTATTTAAATACAGATTAGTATTAGGACAGCTCAAGGACAGACTTCCAGGACGTCTGTTTGCTTCATCAATATATTCACGACCACACCCTGCTCACTTCATGGGCTAAATGCCTTTCTTTACATTTACTAAACCCCAATATTGAGCTATACTAAAACCTATACTTATTTTTATCATACAAGAGTGAATACAATGCAGACTGCAGCACAAAGTAATAAGGCCATGGGTGACCTGATGAGCTTCAAGGTTTTACAAGGACGATTCTTTTTATTTGTCACTTTTGTAAAGCACCTCAGTTTCCTTGTCAAACTGTGTTCTTCGTCCTGCTGTGTATCCAGCCACTTAATCTAATGGGGTTGCTGCATTCACCAATGATAAATAAAAAGCTAAACCCTTCATAACAATAACATATTGACAATTCTTTGCAGTGCTGTTGTTTTCATCCCAAATGAGCTTTACAAACAGTACAGGACGGGACCCACTTTACCTAGCACCTGGGTGATATGTGGCAGCCATTGTGCACCAGCAAACTCTCCACACAGCAGATCAGGCAGAGAACTAAAAAACTAAAGGGAGAGCTTTAAATAGGCCAGTTTGCACAGGCCAAGAGGCAAATCTAGCCAAGACACTGGAGTTAACGTGTTACTTTTACCAACAGTAGCACTGGATCTTTCATCTGCAACCAGTGAGGACCTCAGTTAACGTAACCAAAGGATAGCTGCTCTCATGCAGCACAGTGTCCCAGGACATTATCGGGGGACACTACTTTTTTGGAAATCCTTCTATGGATCCACCACTAGCCGCAATCTTATGGTCCCCCATCCTAATTCTGACAGGACCCTGCCTTGCTCAGTTTCCAAGATCTAAAGGGTTCAGATGGCTGACCCAGTGCCTCCTCACTAGTTAGAGTTACTGTATCGAACACACGTAGCACCAATTCCTGTTCAGCAGTATCTAAACAATTCATTACACAAGTCTAAAAGCAGGCTGCGGTATTACATGTAAGGTATGTGCCAAAAACTATAAATCACTGATGACTTGTGTCTTTTTTGACACTGCACAGATAACCCGAGAGCTGGCTCACGGTTACACTGCCCTAACATGTTGCGCTGCACAGAAATAGTGGCTGATGTGTGAAAGACTGCGCTATGTTTGTACAAATCAGATTCCATGGGTTTTTTTTGTTCGACAGCCAAAGATATCATGCACTCTAGACAGAGGAAATACGTAGGTAAGAGCTGGGTAGATTTGAACTTGATGTGTTCTTCAGAAACGCTGAAATAAGCATGACACTGCTGACTGCTGTAAGGATTCTGTGACCTCTACAGTAATTTACTGGAATTTCTTTGCAGGTGTGAAAGTGCCAGAAATGATGAATAATTGAGGCCCCTTTTCCCAAATATTTCTGGTTATTCCGAAGCCAAATTTGTGGATGACATTAAATGTTTTTTATTTTAATTTTTGAGCATTGCGCTATTTATTTCTGTTATGACTTGAAAAATACAAAGAAACTGCAGAAAAATTCCTTAATTTAAGCAGAGTTCCTACTGTACATACGGTTTCTAATTAGCTGCTACTGGTTATCTAAATTATCTATCCTCATGCAGCCTTATTTAAAGTACTGTATCACTCCGTGTGTGAAGCAGATTAGGTCGGGATACTGTAGTCATCTGGGTTCTAACCTTTTCCATCCCACGACACTCTTGCTTAAACATGTTGCTGCTCACCACTCCCCTGCCCACACACAGCATCATTATCATGAATATTATCAACTAAAACTTAGTTTAATGTGAGTTGACCTCAAAGTGTATAGTGGCCTTATCCTGGCAGGAATTGATGGCAGTGAAACACTTCTCTGATCTCTGATCTTGTTTTTTATATATCTAGTACAGTATGTGACATTCGACTGTTGGCTGCTTTTTAAGTGTTTTTTTTTTATTATTGTTATTTGATTCAACAGCAACAGGAACAAGACCCCACAAACCTGTACATTTCAAATCTGCCCATCTCCATGGACGAGCAGGAGCTGGAGAACATGCTGAAGCCCTTCGGCCACGTCATCTCCACACGGATACTGAGAGATGCCAATGGGATCAGCAGAGGTGTCGGCTTTGCCAGGTCTGATATGTACAGTTTTTATCTTCTCGGCATTTGATGATATATGTGGTCGAGAGCATGGATGTATCACATTATGCATTTAAGCAGGTGGCCTTTGTGGTTGTGCTTTTGAAATATTAATTTAATTTATTATTAAATTAATTAAATTGTTTCACCCCCCCCCATTAGATCCCAAAACCAAATGAGAAAATATATCAATTGTAGGTAATAACATACAATGATCTTTTTTTATTTTTCAGAATGCATTGCATTTATTATTTCAATTTTAATGTAATGTAGTATATACAGTACAGTATATAAATCTGATCTACACTTAATTCCCCTGTATGTTTTTCTGCAAACAAAAAATCTTTCTGTGAGTGGCCCATACTCTCTGTGAGAAAACACACAGTCCTCTACCACCTGTTTAGACCAAAACCAGCAGGGAAAAGAAGTAATTGAGTACAGAATGGTCTGTGAGCTGACAGATGTTAAGGGAGAAAGGACTATTTAAAAGGGTAAACTACCTAAGTGTTTTTGCACTATCCATTACTGTTATCAGAATCCATTATGGCCATTCAGTGGATAATTCTTTCGGACAAGAATGCTTAATGTCATTAATGATTATTCCTCTGAGTGGATTTTCCCTTGGCTGAGTTATTGCAGGACTGGTCGCCAAAGCAGTCTAATTAGGCTATTGCTGAAGCAAATATCTGCTTAGAGGTTTGCTCCTCCAAAAGACCCCTGTGTGCGGAGGTGGAGCTGTGGAAGGATGAGTGCAGCTGTAGAGATTCACCACCACACCAAGACAGAAGTGTAAACATCACAAGCCCTGTTATTCCGCCTTTGCAGGTGGGGGCCGATAAGAAGGAGGTGCCGATTCCGAAGTGACTCGTGCTCCGGATTAGAGATAGCGTCTGTCTGACTTTTCACCTTTGCTCGTCGTGAAATCCAAGATGAAAATGGGCACATGCCTCCGTTCCTCAAATTAGAGCACGTTGCCCTTGTGAACTGGCCCTCACAAGGGATCTTTTCTTTGGAGAGCAAAACCTGACCTGCTTTCAGGCCCGTTCTCCAGGGACCCTGTCTTTTTTTTGTTTGACATTATTATTCTTTGTTTACAACAACAACAACAACAACAAAAATTCACTATATGATCCACTATACAGTATTAAATCTTTAACATTCCTTCAAAGTCTTGGTGGCCTATAGGAAATATAGATAGAGTTCTCCAGCTCAGACTCGTCTTCATTTCCTGTGGAAGACTTCATCTGACAAATACTTACTCAACAGAGTGCTGAATCTCTGCTTGCTCCAGGGACCAAGTGCATTACACAAAGAAATGTATTTCTCTTGGAGCTTATGAATAGTAAAAAAGAGATATTTCTGCTATTATAATAGTATAAATTTAAAATAGAGATTTTTTCCAAAAAAGAACTACGGAGAGAAAATTATTTGAAAGGTTTGGTTTGATATCACACTGTCTGAAAAAAAAAATCAGTTGAATTATGATAATGTAGGGGAGCTCTTTGAATAATACTAATGATAACTGTCCTTTTCTAGAATGGAGTCGACCGAGAAATGTGAAGTCGTGATTCAACATTTTAATGGAAAATACCTGAAAACCCCACCAGGTGTTCCAGGTGAGTTTCATCGTTTTTTAATGGAAATGTTTCCATGATTAAATTATTAAGAATTCAGCATTTTGCTTCACTACAGAATGTATTTACACTTTGTCATGCTACCAATAATTTCTCATAATTAACGAATGCTGTCTATTTGCAACTTTGTCTTTTAAAAAGAACATAGGGATTAACAGCATCTCCTTAAACTTGTGTCTGGAGTGCGCTGACTGTTAGTGGTTTTTGTTAAAACGGGTGTACCTTGCCTTAAGAAGACTTCAATGAAAGTAAAACACAGCGAACCTCTTCACATGAAAGTTAATTAGATGCGTGGAAGGACATGTTCCATCACTTTTTCATAGTCCTGCTTTACTTCCTATTGTTCCGGCACTTGGTCTGTGACTTGAAGGTATTAAATCATGACATGAACCTGCATTAGAGTAAATGTAAGTGACCTACGTGCCTCGACCTTTGCTGGCTACTTCAGTTGAATGTTATAACTTAAGTTCCCTTCTAAGTTTAATTAAATTACGTTGGAACATTAATTATGTGGATATAGGACGTATATTATCTTCTTTTCTATTCTAAAGAGAACTTCTGTTTAGAAAGCCAGTTATTCCGTGAACAGGCTGTTTATCAGGATCCTGGAAGCACAGGCCACAGGGGCTCAAACCCTAGATGGGATGCTCGTCCATCGTCAAGCACGAACAGTACACACAAGCAGACAGGGATGATTTCGAGGCCCTCGTTAACCTCACTAGCATGTCTGCATGAAAACCCATGCAGACAATAGCATAATGTGCAAAATCCACGCAGAAGGCAGGACCCTAGAAACGGTACCCATTCCAGCCTACAGCCAAACCCTTCAGAAACTGTGATATGTTACTGACGTACTTGAGAAAATATATTTATACATACTGTATTAGATCCTGCTAGCCATCTTTGTCTAACGTACACCTTAAAATGTTAGCTTGTCAGAATGTTTACTGCATGTGGTTGACCAATACATTTGTATTGATTATGAGATTAAATTAGATTATTGTAAAAGAGAGACTGTAAGGTAAAATTAGAGAAGCATCTCCGATAATGTTTTGTGCAGTCAAAACTCTCTAATGCCAAATACACCTGGACAAAGTACTTTAAATGTTCTATTAGTACTGACAGATACCTGCGTAAAAAGGTATTTTGTTATTTATTTAAAGAGTATTCCCATTTACAATGCATTTACACTCAGTATTTACATACTTTTTCAAATGCCTGAAATAATGCTATGGCTGATTGGATGAATGGTAAGTCAAAAATGCAATTAGAAGTGTCAGTTGTAATGAACTGGGCCAGCATAATATGAATGAAAGAGAACTTAGAAACTGATATAAACTAAACAAAAATGCTCCCAACAAGCACAGCACACAGACAGTTTAAAAAACTGTAAGTGTTGGACTCTGATACATATTCTTTATACACAAACAAATACATATATTTTTTACAATATTCGTGTATTGTCTAAAATATTTTGGTGGATATATTGTACCAGCCATCAACAATTATGCTGACTGGCTTCAATCAGCAGACTTGTTACTTTACTTTGAAAGTGTAGGCCAGACAGGTTGCTCCCAGCTACCCTCAGTATAGTACCGATGTTGCCTGAGCGAATTATAGAGGATCGAGACCGAAACATTGATTCACTGTTGCCAATCAAACTGACTTCAGTCTGTCAGTGAAATTTGAAATGATTTTGGAAATGTGCTAAAAAGGCAAAATAGCTTGTAAATCAGACACTACTGAAAATGGCCTCCGATTCTGAAATCGAATTCAGACATTTAATTGACACCTTAATACTGTTTCCAGTCATGGGAGATACAACACTGAATGCAATGCAAATGTAAATAAAAATGACGCTGGGACGAAATTACTCCGAAAATAGCTCCTTGTCGCCATAGTTCTGCGAAATGATATGCATAACTGTATGATTTCACAAAGATCATCAAATAAATTGACTCGATAACTGAAAGAGATCATAGACTAAGCATTTCATGAAATACAAAACTGCTATTTCCAATCATTTTATGAAACCTCCGATTCCACAATTTAAATGTAATATACCTTATACAGTATAATACCTAGAGAAATATAATGCCTAAAGACAAAAGAAATATGTACACAGATGCAAGTACAGTATACAGTATATAAATACTATACAGTGTCAGTATAGTGCTCACATTAGTAGAGTTATATACAGTACATTCCAGATTGAAAATTACCTCTGTAATCAATACAATGGTTTATGCATCCTGGGCAGCAGCACTGCACATTGAGTGGTTTGTAGTAATGCGTTATTCTGAAGGAGTGAGCTTTTATGATATGCAGACAGTGACATACAAAATAGTGAGCCCCATATCCATTTTGAGTGAGATGGGGAAAGTGAGCTATCAGGGTCTGAGAGCTTCCTACAGAAGATTCTGTTAAATGGCTCATCAGTCACAGTGGATGTCACCCATAAATCTATCACTAGACCCACACAACACTGTCTGTCATAACTTTCACAATAGGAGGCTACATCTGTGGTTTGGTGTGTTTTAAACTGTCTGTGATATGAGGTATCACTTCGGGCAGACATAAATAAAAGGTTTGGTCAATAATTTATTGTGGAAGCGCAGCGGTGCTTTTTCGAAGAATTGGTTTGTTGACCTGCAACCCTAGAGGTACTGATGTGTTTGTGCAGCTGCGTCAGTGTGATTTTATTAAGGATTAGACCTGCAATGGTTTGTTGAGGCATTGGATTCAGCAAATTTAAAAACGGATCGTATAAATGTCACTTTGCTATAATATAAAACCATTTACAGTATGTGTTGTTTTCGTTTTGAGTTTCATTTGGTCTTCTGGTAGTAAAAGTCATTCCTCTCCATTTATTATAATATCGCTAAAGAATGGCTTACAAGTTCTGTCTGAGACAAAAATGCTTCGAATCAATTTGTCATCATCCATACTGTAGCTTAAATAATAAACACAGCCGGTTCAATGACAGTTATTAGAGGCATACAGTACGACAGGTGGACGTAAATGTGGGAAATGAGAGCTTGTGTTTCTCATTGACGTTATAGTATGAGGACATCTGTGTAATATATGATACTGTGTACATTATGTTCTTAAATGCATCAGTTCAAGATTTTGATGATTTTAGAAGCACGCACCCACCTTTAATTCACTTCATTCTTTCCTGTCGGCCTACAACGGAAATCCCAGAGTCTCTTTAAATCTGTTAACACTATCCTGCTGGCATTTTGATGGGGGCGAGCTGGTAAATCGTAAGACCGAGTATGACTGTTTTCTAAGGATGTTCTTAAAAGAAGCAGTTCTTCTTTTAAACAGTTATAAACAGTGTCTGCCACTGTCGTAGCCAAAGTTGGATATGCAGTACAGTATGTCACAAACCTCAGTGATTCTTGATGGCCTGCGCCTGTGCTTTGTGTATTTCTTGATTTAACTGATGGGCAGCATGATGACATGATGTTTAGGACTACATTCCAGAGTCGCTGGTCCTCCAGGTTCTTGTGGGGTTCTTCCAGGTGTTCCAGTCACTTCTCACTTCCCAGAGAAGTGCTGGTTAGGTTTGATTGTGCATTGTTTTTTTTTCCAATGTACAGTACCCAGTAATAGCCCGGGGACTGTAGAGAAATGAGAGCAAATGAGTATGTTGGGTCGAACAGCCTTGCAGGTGTTTTGATTAATGTTATTTACACCTAGGGCTGCCTGAGTCCACCTCTTCAATAACGTTTGGCTACCAAAGGATGTCGACAGTAGTAAATACAGTGCACCGTATACTGTCTTGTCATTGTTAGTGTTGCCTACCAGTGTCTTAAAAGAGTGATACAAAGGGACCAGGATTGAAAGTAATAAAAATTAAAAATAAAAGATGTTACCCTACAGTTAGCGGTTACTGCTGTGATCTTTTATTTCAATTCTGTAGTGACTTATAATTAAATACCTACACTTTTTAGAGCAGACAGGCATACAGTACGTGACCATAAATCCATGTATAAAGTCCCGTAGAATGATTTAGAAACATCAATATTTAAAAAAAGCTTGATGTATTTTTTTAATTCCTAAAAGCATTTTTAATAATAATGAGAAAAGAGAAATTTGTATCACAAAGCTTTTCTCAATAAGCACTGAAAAGTATAAGTATTCTAATAGGATTAGAATTTCTGCTGTATTTGAAAGATTTCTTTTTTGCATTTGTATTTGTATTTTTAAATACTGTACTTTGTAAACCCTGGACCTTTGTCACTCAGGGCAAGGACTAAGCAAATAAATGATAATTATATCATTCACAGTCATTGTATATCCTTGTTTACTTGCAGCTTAGAATTAAGTACTATTCATAGTGTTTTTAAAGCATTTATTAGAGAAAGGCCAGCTGCAGTCTCTTTAATTTCTGCTCTTATTAGTAGCAGTGCAGTAAAGATAATGTATTCATAGTGACAACAATACCATAATACAGTAAATAATAATTAACTAAAATATTACTTATAGAAGTTACAATAATTACACTGAGAGTGTGAGTTCATAACCCAAGTGAGACACTAGTGTACATTCAAGGAAGACATTTAACCTCAATTGTTCCAGTACAATACCCAGCAGTATGAATGGTTACAAATATAAGTCTCTTTGGATAAAAGTATCAGCCAAATAAGTCTGTATCAACATATTTTATTTACAAGAGTTATTAATAGAACTCAAAGTACTTGTGAAAAACATAACAGAAGTAAAAGAAATAAAACTGTTGACTCAAAATCTGAAAGAGCACTGTACAGCTGGGTTTTTTGGCAATACTGTGTTTTAAATAGAACTGTAATGTATTTCCAATGTCAGGATTTTATTTCAAAGCACAGATTTCACAGGAGTGTTTTGGGATGTTCTCAGGAATCCTCCACTGACTCTTAAAGAGTTTTGGCATCAGAAGAAACACCTGACAATTTTGCTTTATCTTGCTTAATGGTTTTCAGAACTTTTTTTTTTTC